GATGAAATATAGCTTTGGATTTGAATCCTGGCGTCATCCTTTACCACCTCTGTGACCCTGGGAGAGTTACTTGACCTCTCTGCCTCTGTAATAATAATGGTGCCTGCCTCCATAGAGACTCAGCAGAGTGTCTAGCATAAAGCACTCAGTTTATATTCAGTGATGGTGGTACTGTCACATGTTGAATAAATCAACAAGTAAAGGAAGAAGTGGGGTGCCATCAAATCTTGGCATTTGGAGATACCTTAGAAAACAATGTTTCAGTGACTGACCTTCTTCCTCAGCCCCATAAGGGATGTGTCATGACCATACACATCCAACTTCCCTTTCAGCACATCCTGGATTGAGTCCCTATTTAAATGCTTGCTTTGACAGGATCTTAACATTCTAACGGTGCCATTCCATACTGTTACCAGAGTTAGGGCAAAATTCCAGGGTCCCAATGGACTAGGCTCAGCCAACCGGTCTCAAAGCCAGTCAGCCAGACAAATGGTGATGAAGGCATAAAAGGAGCTTTATTATCAGTGTGATCACACACTGATAATAAAACATAAATAATCAGAACAAAAGTCTGATGACCTAAAACCTGTCTTCCAAGTACTTACGGCAGCCTTAGTGTTATATAGGAAAGAGAAACAAAGTCAAGATCGGGGTTTCCAAAGTAGCAGTCCATGTCGTGTTGTTCTGGCTGTTTCTGGTTGATCGTAACCTCAGCCATTATCTCAGAATCAGCTATGTTGGTGCCAAGAAGACTTCTGTTGCTTGGTGGGTAGTTTAGGTCCTTTGTCTTAAGATGTTCATCAATCAGGCCTGTTGTTCCTGGGATCTAAGTTAACCATAGGGGAGACTCAGGAAAGCTCAAAAGGAAGGAAATGAAACTAGCCGAGTCAGAAACAAGGCAGATAGGAGTGGAAAAGAGATGGATGGGATTAGAGAGGCGGGCTGGGGGTGGCCTTTATGTCCTTGGAATTTTATCCCAAGTACAAGGAGAAACTGCTGAGAGGTTTTAGGCAACGGAGCACCATTATCCACCTTACATTTGAAAAGTTAACTGAGGACTGTGCAAGAAAGATTGGAAAATGAGAGCCTTTCTTTTTTTGTTTTTGTTTTTGTATTTTTTGCAGTACGGGGGCTTGAACTCAGAACCTACACCTCAAGCCACTCCACCAGCACTTTTTTGTGAAGGGTTTTTCCAAGATGGGGTCTGTGAACTGTTTCCCCAGGTTGGCTTCAAACCTGGATCCTGATCTCTGCCTCCTGAGTAGCTAGGATTATAGGCGGCGCCCGGCTGTGCCTTTGTTCTTGATGGTGGATTGGATTATGGCCACCTGTAGATAAAAAGCAGACAGATAGGAGAAGGGTTTTGGAGGTAGAACTGGAGGACTTGGTAGTAGTTTGCTATGGCAGGTAGGAGTGGGAGGTACCAGGTGGCTATTCAGGGTGAGCACCTGGCTAGCAGCCTATCGTCCTTCCCAACTGAACAGATGCCAGCCACAACCAAGTTTGCAGTATTACAATCCTAGTGGATTTCTAATGGGGAAGCTGGGGGTGCCATTCACCAAGAAAAGGAAAACTGAAGGGGCTGGGTTGATGGATCAAGGGTTTGAATTTTGAGCTCGTTCCAATGGCTCATGTCTGTCATCCTAGATACTTGGGAGAAATCAGGAGGATCATGGTTTAAAGCCAACCTGGGCAAATAGTTCGCCAAACCCTGTCTTGAAAACACCCAACATAAAAAAGGCTGGTGGAACATGAGGTCCCAACTCAAGCCTGTAATCCTGGCTACTTGAGAGGCTGAAACATGGAGGATCTCCATCCAAGGCAAAATGGATTTGCGATGTGGCTCAAGTGGTAGAGCGCCTGCTTTGTAAGCGCAAAGCCCTGAGTTCAAACCTCACACACCAAAAGGAAAAAAAGAAAAAGAAAAGCGTTTTGATTTTGTGGTGTTGGTTTTCACAAGCCTTGAGACAGCATAATGTAAATCTTGAACTGGCAATTGAATAGAGCAGACTAAACTGCGTTGTCAGTACATAATTGGAATTTAACGCCATGAGAGAGTTATATGCTGTCACTTGAGTCTGTGGGCTCATGACTGAGCCATGGGGGTGGGGGCAAACAGAAAAATAGCACAGAGGTAGGAAAGCAGACTCCAACAGCCAGAATACAGCTGAAGAGAGTGGGTCGTGGAATTTTGGACTCGTGATCAAGATCCATCATTTGCACGTGGAAGTATCTCCCCCAGGGGAAGATCTTCCCAACTATATTCTGACTCATCTGAGGCGAGCCTGCTGCCTTTCTTCTTTACTCAACAAATGCAGCTGTTTAGCAGTTAGGCAACTGTGCCCTCTGTTGGTCTATTCTGAAACTGCAGTGAACATTACAGCCCTGAATATATCCTCTGTCGTTAGGCAGAGGATGGTTGCTTCTGTGTTGAACACAGACTTTTTTCCTTGCGTTATTCCCTGAACAATACAGATAACAACTTGTTTGCATTGTAGTAGGCATATAAGTAATCAGAGATGGTTTAAAGTATATACAGAAGGGTGTCATAGGTTGTATGCAGGACTGGAGTTGTGGCTCAAGCACTGAAAGGGTAGAGCCCTGAGTTCAAATCCCAGTTCCGTGGAAAAAAAAAAAAGAATTCACTATTCTTAGCTATGAAGTTTCCCTGTTAAAGCCCAAATACCTAAAATAACTTTTTTGGGCTGGTGGAGTGGCTCAAGTGATAGAGCTCCTGCCTAGCAAACTTGAGGCCCTGAGTTCATCCCCAATACCAACGACAACAGCAACAAAATATCCTGACATAGGTTGTATGCAAATGTTAGGCCACTTTATCTAAGGGACTTGAGAATCCGTGGATTCTCCATGGATACTAAGGAATAATTGTATCACCAGAAGCAGACCATTGGTCAGAAGCAGTAGTAACCAAAGAGCTCTTGAGAAAGAGACTTTGGTAATTAGTTGAGGTGGGAGACAACTCCAGAAGAAGGAAGCAAAGTCAGGCTTTTGTTATTCCAACTTAATAGGTGAGGAAGCCAAAACTGTAGTGTGAAGTGGCAGAAACTGAATGCTGGAATTCCACCAGTGTCCTCGTATAGGCTCTCAGAGCTATACTATATTTCTTCTGAATGCTTTAGAATGTTATTTGCAGAATACTAATGCAAAGTGAATGGTTTTTAAATCTTTATTTTAGAATTATGATGCGTTGTTTGCTATGAGGGGATTTCTCTGTGATAATGCCATATATGCATACAGTGTACTTTGAACAAGTTCACCCCCATTATGTTTCATTCTCCTCCTCTGTCTCCCCCGCTTTTTCAAACAGTGTTTGGTGGGTCTGGTTAATGCTGTGTGTGTGTGTGATATCTCAGAGCTCTTCACCTCGCAATATCTTTTCCTTTCCCTCCTCTCCCGCTGGCCCCCAACCAGGCCATCCCCATATACATTCATGTCCCGTTACTGTTATTGTCATTGTAAAGTGACAGTTTAAATGTTATTATTCTACTGTCCCTTGGTTTAGGACCATCTAAAAGTCAAATCTCAGAGTCAGAGATACTCATCCATTCTTTCATTCACCAGTTATCTACTGAACCCTTCTGTGTGCTGGGCACTGTCCTTTGTGATGGTGACACAGTAGTGAACAAAGCAGTCCTACATCCCAACCTCACATTCTCTGCAATATGACAGATAACAGCTATGGTAAGATACACAGTTTATTAGATAGGAAAGTGGGTAGAGGGAAAGTAGAAGCAGAGGAGGGGTATGAGGAGTTGCACCAGGATGCTGCTCTGGAAGTTTTAGAGTGACCACGGAAGGTGACTTTCCAGATCCGAGGGAAGTGAAGGAAGCAGCCATGCAGCTGCCAACTTCAAAGCACTGCAGACCAAAGTCAGTGCTGAGGAGGGGATGTGTGTAGCCTATAAGAGAAACAGCAAGCAAGACAGTGTGCCGAGATGTCACAGGGAGGTCACCTGCAGACGACCTTCTAGGTCATAGTAAGGACTTCATTTGTCGTCCAAGAGTCAAGTCTCCTTTGCCTGGTTTAAGCAGAGGAACGGATGATCTGTGTTTTAACAGGACTAGTCTAGCAGACTGAGGGGCCAAAGCAGGGAGACCAGTTACTATAAAACTCCAGACAGGAGATGGCTTTGTAGATAGACCCATAGAGTCTTATGAGGATTGGATGTGGATTGTGAGAGAAAGAGAGGGGTCAGGGATGACACCAAGTGTTTGTGTGACTGGAAGAATCAAGTTGTGGTGACCCTAGGTGTAGCAGGCTGTAGGAGCAAAGGCTAGGGAGAGGCGTCGCATTTTGTTATGTGAATTTGGAGTTAGGTGAGAGCTGGAGCTGAGATACAAACTTGGGAATTATCATCATTTGGGTGATACTTAAACTCATGGCATGAGCTAGCCAGAGGAATATGTTTAGATGAAAATGATAAGAGGAGCAAGGTCCGAGCTCTAGAAAGCTCGGATGGTTAGAGGTTTAAAACATACGAAGGAATGGTCAGATCGGTGGGAACAAAACCAGGAAACTTTCTGCCCAGAAATGGGGGGAGGGGCAAATAATGTATACGCAAGTGAGTAAATGTAAAAATAATAAAATAACAATTTTTTTAAAAAAACAGTAAACTGTGGTGTCATGGCTGCCAAATGAAGACAATAGTCTGGGAGAAGACCATCCAGTCAGGTGTGGTAGTGCATACCTGTAGTCACAGCACTTGAGAGGCAGAGGCAGGAGAATTAAGAGCTCAAGGTCAAAAAAAGAAAAAGAAAAGAGCTCAAGGCCAGACTGGGCTACATAGTAGGACCCTGTCTCTAGGGGAAAAAAAAGAGAAAAAAAGAAGGAAAGGAGATGGAAGGAGGAGGAAAAAGAAACCTATTGTGTCCAATGCTGCAGATGGGTTGAAGAGGATGAGGGCTAAAAACTGGCTATAGAATGGTTTCTCCAATTCTCCCCGGCCTTATAGTGAAATATCTTGTTCTAATTTTCACCCCAGGTTGTAGCAGATACCAATATAAGCGCCATAGCAACTCAGCTTGAAAACATGTCCACAGGCTGCCACCTTGGCTCACCCACAGCTGACCACCAACTGGAAGACAAAGAGTGAGTATTTCAGACATACGCTCCTTCTTCTGTGCGTGGGCCAAGCTGCTGAGAACTTTCCCCAGATTCTAACGTGTGCTTTCTACAAGAGAGGAAAGTGCCCTATTCCCAGAAAAGGTCCAAGAAGGCACTAGGGTTTCCTTCCTCCTCACAGGGTTCTGGTTCACCCTGTGAGCTCCTCAAAGACTGTGGTTGCAGGGCATTACATTCATGCTGCACATGGGTACTGTGACACAAACCCATGCCTTTTCCCCTAAGAAACTAGCAGATTTATGGTTCAGGTACACCCTGCTGTAGTGTGCAAGTTTCCTCAATTCGCTAAGCTAAGATCTTGGTGTGAGATGAAATCTTATTGTCACACTTACTGGTGTCTCATTAAACCAGTCATTGCAATCAAACGCAGCGTTTCTAAAACTAGGATGTATGTAAGGTAAGGAGGATGTTAAGTGTAGTAACTGCCAGGCCCCGTTCTTAGACATCTGCTCAGCTGGTCTGAAGTACATTCAGAAGTCTGATTTTAGCAATGTGCCATGGTGATCCCATTAGAAACAGGCAGAGGATTCATATTTGAGAAGTGCTGCCTAAGCACTGCCTCTCAGTGCCACAGTGTGTCTGGTCACTTGTAGATAGATGCTCAATAAATGTTTGTTGACCAATCTGGATGGTTCTTTTGAAGGTTCTCATCACAGCCACTCTCAACATTTTTCTGGTAGTTTCTCAAATGATAGTTTTGAGTTTGCTTTTCTTGAGGAAACAATATTAAATTAACTACATTCTACCTTTTTCTCATTATAAAAGTAATGAATGTCATTAAAATATGATAAAAACACAAACATACAGTATTTTCAAAATAAAATGACTCCTTTTTACAAAATCAAGCCAGGCATGGTGGTACATGCCTATAATCCCAGCACTTGGGAGGCTTGAGGCAGAATTGCAAGTTTGAGGCCACCCAGGGCTATATAGAGACCCTGTCTCAGAGAAAAAAAAAAAAAAAGAAAGAAAGAGAGAAAGGCTCAAGAGCGCTATAGAAGAGTAGCATACTTTGTCACACTTGAAGTGTATGCAATGGAGCTGCCTTGTGTTCTTAATTCCTTTGCTGTCATCCCACAGCTTCTGGCAGTTTGGGAACCAGTAACATAAAGAATTTAAAAATCACTCATAATCCCACCACTGCTAACATTTGGAGATTTTTTTTTTTTTTTTTTGGTAGTACTGGGGTTTGAACTCAGGGCCTCGCACTTGCTAGGCAGGTACTCTACTCCATCAGCCCTGTTTGGAGATTTTTTTTTTTTAAAAGCTAACCTTCTACTTGAAAGTAAAGGAAAACGAAGTGATGGGAAATGTTGGGACACTGTGAGATAAATGCAGACTTCATCTGATGTTGCCTCACTCCTCCCTCTCCCCCTGAAAACACATTCCCTGATTATTCCAGTCTCAAAGGTCTCCAAGGACTTGGTGGCCCAGGGGCGAGTGCTAAAACACTAGCTTTGGGCATCTAGGCTCCCAGTCCGATATCCTTGGAAACAGGATCTATGCTTGAAAAAGGAAACATGAGTCAAACTCATGTCCAGCCTGTGGCCATTACTGAGAGCCTTATCCATGACCTTACCACTCAGATATAGGGATAGTTCACCATTGTTTCCACAGATACTTATTGAGCACCTTTCTAAGGCCAGACACTATACAAGTTCTGGATCCTGAGGATTCAAACATAGAAATGTAGATAAAGCTATTAACCTAGGCTTTAAGGAACATAGAAGAAACAGACGCTTAAATCCGTCGTTATGAAAGAGATGGTAAGGGTAGGAGAGCTAAGTTCAGTGAGAGAGGGTCCTGTGACACTATGGACCTGGGATGTGACTTAGAAATGGGGTTTACCTGGAGGGGCTAATACTTAAGCTGAGCTGTGAAAGTGTTGGAATAAGCAGGATGGCATTCAAAACGGTATAGATGGCACAGACTACCAGTAGCTACCAGGACACCAACAAAGAGCTAGTGTCAACCAGCTGCAAGTCAACCCCTAATAAGCTAGGCAAAATTGAGCGGGGGGAGTAGGAAAAATACTCTAATCAGGCAGAGCAGCATGCTCAAAGTTCCCTTACATCCCCTCTTCACAGACATGCGTGTTGCCCCAAAACTGCCTCCAGTATCAACTATGAGCCTCCTGCCACAAATCAGCACAGGGTGGGGACACCAGAGCTCAATTAGGTTTGACCCGGTGGACATTAGTACTTGGGAAGAAGACCCCAGCACCAGCTAAGCATAGGTTAGATTACTTGAGCCCACCTAGATCATGTCATGTGTAGTCAAGTTGTTTCTGAGAGAGAGACTTCCACACTGAACAAAGCTTTGAAAATCTCAATTTGACATTTGAAACAGATTTTTTTCTTGGTTTCTTTCTTCTCTCCTGGATTTTAGTCTCATTTACACAGTCATGATCCTGAGTTTTGTGACAAGCATGTGTGTAGTGCTGGGAACACTCAGATAATGAGTTTGTAAAGGAGAACGCTAAGGAATTGCAGCGTGATATAATACATTTCATAGTTAAAAACTAGCTAGGCATGGTGACACACACCTGAAATCCCAGCACTCAGGAGGCTGAGACAGGAGCATAGAGAATCCCAGGCCAACCTGTCACAAAAGAGTTAAAAACCAAGCATAGAAAGGAGTGCTTTGACAATCTCAGCATCGTGACTTTATTTCATTTAAAAGCAGTAGATCTTATACGAGAGAAACCCCAAGCCATGAAGAGTGTTGATGATGCATCGGCATGACATGGAAATTTAAAAATTAGTCTCTGGATTGCTCGCTGAGAGTCTGATTGGATAAACTGACATTCATAGCTTCCCAGTGTGAAAGTCTCTCTCAAATCTGTAATCTTCCATTAAAATGAAATTCCCTCTCAGTATCTACTCTCAAATTAAACAGCATGCATTGTGCTTTCAGAACACCTCCACCTAAGATTATTACTTTGGAGAAAGGCTCTGAAGGATTGGGGTTTAGTATTGTAGGGGGTTATGGAAGTCCCCATGGAGACCTGCCAATTTATGTCAAGACTATATTTGCAAAGGTATTTTTTTTCTTTTTACTGTACTTTTAAAAAAAAAAAAAACTAGGTGAGATTTGAAAAAGTGCTTTGTGTTGCTTTTCTTGGGGTTGTACTGGATGTGTGTGTGTCTGTGTGTGTGTCTATGTGTGTGTGTGCTAATTTTCACTTGAAGCTTGTAGGAAATCCCCACACCAGTGAGAGAGGGTTCTATTACAGCAGAGCAGTTGCAGCTCCTTTACAGACGTTAAGCAGTGTCTCCTTCCAACAACAGTACTGAGAGCGATGCCACTCTTTTGAAGCTAGCTGGCCTTGGAAGTATTGCTCTGGGCCTGTCCTTTAAGAAAAGATAGCAGGACTGGGGGTGTGGCTTAAGTGGTAGAGCACCTGCTTTGCAAGTTCAAACCCCAGTCCCAACCGAAAAGAAAAGAAATCAGACACCAGAGGCTGAAGCAGAGAGCTCAGTACAAGGTTCAGACCAGCACAAAAAGATTAATGGCTACCCATCCACCAGAACACTCAGGAGGCTTTAGCTCAAAGTGATTTCTCTTGTTCAGTCCTCTGACAAGTACTTGATATGTTAGACTAACACTGGGTAATAGGTGTTCAGGAATTAAGCATTACTTCTAGTATGTCCCAGTTAATCAGAACAGAGCTCCAACTGTGCCTCTAAATGACTCTGAGAGTAATTATTTTTAACTTCATTGTGAGTTTTTTAAGTTAGAATTTAGAAGAAGCTGTGACCATTATTCTTACTTTGCTCTTGAAAGAATCAACTATGTTGATAAGGGCAATGGAAAGGTTACTGAGTGAGCCCCCATGTTTTAGCCAGTCCAGCCAGCCTGCCTTTGCTTCCGTAGAGCCCTCCAGCGCACAGGCTCACTTCCTGGTAGCTGTGCTACATCCACTGCAGTTCAGAGAGCTGTCTAGCAGCCAGAGTGCAGCTGGCTGCCCCTGTACTGTCTACAGTTTCAGAGATCAAAGCAATAGGAGCCCAATTACCAGAATATACAGCCGGGTATGAAACGGCCATGCAGTGCTGGTGTGGTTAAAAGAAACCACCATCAGGGCTAGAGGTATGGCACAAGTGGCAGAGTGCCTGCTTTGCAAGCCTGAAGCCCTGAGTTCAAACCCCAGTTCCACCAAAAAAAGAAAAAAATAATAAAATAAAATAAAAAAGAAACCACCATCAAATCACACGGTGCAAGAATTGTGGGAACAATGGGTGTACTGAAGCTCCCACAGGCACACTGTAGAAAGGGCCCACCACAAGGGCTCATCAGGAAGTACCTACCAAGTAGTAGCATTAGAAATGATAAATACTGGATATCCTTGGTATGTTTTGTAAAGAAAATGCCTCTTCAGATCATAAAGCATTTAAATAGTGTGATTTTATATAATTGTATGACAATATATTTACATGCATATGGAAAAATTTAGAAGTATATACACATAACAGAATACTAAAATGTCCCCCAAATTAAAAAAAAAAAAAAAAAGAAGACGCCAGGTGTGGTCACACATGTTATAATCCCAGCACTCAAGAGTGTGAGGCAGCAGGAGGAGCTGGAGTTCAAGGCCAACCTGGGCTATGTAGCCAAGACCCTGTCTATAAACAAATAATAATACAAAAAGAAAAATTTCTAAGCCCTATCTAATGGCCCACTTAGTGCAGTCAGTCCTGATGCAAGACTATTCTAACGCAAATAACACTGATGTTGATTAGATATCCCATAGATTTAAGATTTGATGACTTTTCCTTTTTTTTTTAGTTGTTACAATAAACCAGTATATCTGACTTTATAAGTTTTCTATAGAGAATCAACAAACTAAAAACTAGCAAAGGAATTTTTTTTTTCCCCCAGTGGTGAAGTCTTTCCAAAATGGATTCTGACACTGAGCTAAGCATTACCCCATAGGAATTTTGAAGATGTGGGAACTATACACAAATGCTTTCTGTGCTTCTTTAACATGAGATGTACATTCTTCTTTTTTGGTATTGGGGTTTGAACTCAGGGATGGATGCTTTTCTAGGCTGGCACTCTACCACTTGAGGCATCCTGCCAGCCCTTTTTTTGTACTAAGCATTTTTGAGATAGGGTCTCTCGAACTATTTGTCCAGACTGGCCTTGAACCACGATCCTCCTGATCTTTGCCTCCTGAGTAGCTAGGATTTTAGTCACCAGCACAGCCTTTTATGTTAGGTATTTTTGAGATAGGATCTTGCTTTTGTTGCCCAGGCTATAGCTAAGAGTATAGGCGTGAGCCACCAGCACCCAGTAAGGCATGTATTCTTTAAAATGTTTCTCTTTTCAGATTTCTGGAGCTCTGATGTCCTCAGGGTTAGATGTTTATGTGCCCACAGAGGTCTTTTCCCCCTCCAGGCGGGTGCTGCTTTGCAGGCACTTGGAGTGTGTGGGGAGCAGGAGGTGGTCAGTCTGGTTAGCAGGCTGGCAGGTCCTTCAGGTGTGTGTGGTCAGAAAGTTCAAAGTCAAAGCTACCAGTCCTCTTAGTCCTTTCAGCAGCCGAATTTAACACTACACAAGAAGAACTTGGCCTCAAGACTTCAACAACTCTGAAAATGTAGGGAGCAGTTTCTCAGCCTGTGAAATATGAAACATGAGTTGGAGTGTCGTGAGTTTTATTTTATTACACTCCCACCATTGTTGAGTAAATGCCATATGTCACACAGTTAATCCTTACAAAAAGCTGTAAGTTGATACAGACTGAGTACATTTTACCCAAAATGCTTGGGGCCAGAAGTATTTCAGATTTGGGATTTTTTTTCAGATTTTGGAATATTTTCACACGCATGAGATTTCTTGGGGAGAGGACCCACGTCTACATACAAAATCCACTTGAGTTTTGTATATACCTTACACACATAGCCTGAAGGTAATTGTATACAATATTCTGCTTTTTGAGACGGGTCTCACCATGTAGCCCAGGCTGGCCTGGAACTCAAAATCCTCCTGACTTCACCTCCCAAGTACTAGGATTATAGGCACATAGCAACATGCCCAGCTGAATTTTCTATTTTTGGTACCATGCCACAGAACTACACTAAAGAGCTCCAGATTCGGGAGTATTTTGTATTCTCAGATCAGGGATGTCCAGCCTGCAGTCACTGCCCGTTTACAGCACCCAAGAGGCAGTTGGGACAGAGAGTGAGCAGAGCCTAGGTGGAGGCCTGAGAGCCATTTATTTCCTCCTTCCCTAGTCACAAGTGCCACATTGATGAAGTAGGAGACCAGAGACAAGTCACTCAGTAGTTATCAAGTATTCCCTGCAATAGCCAAAGTAGGGACAGATCTCAGAAAGCTGAAAATTCATCCTTTTTTGTACTTCTAAAGGAAGACTGGAAGAGCATGCCAAGATCTTTCAAAACTATCTGAGGTTTACCGAAGCCCTTACATCTAAGCATATTGTGGACTGGGTGTGTGGCTCAAGTGGTAAAGTGTCTGCCTAGACACTCTACATGAGGACCTGTGTTCAAACCCCATTGCCACCAAAAAAATCCAAGCACGTCATGAATAAAAGCAGGTTTACCTAGTAATTCCAATTTACCCCCCCTAGAGTTACTTGTTTAATCCTGTCTTTAGTGCATTGGCACATTCCTTTTTTAAAAGAATGTGAGTGAGCTGGCTCAGCTGGCTCACACCTATAATCCTAGCTACTCAGGAAGCAGAGGTCAGGAGGATCGAAGTTCAAAGCCAGCCTCCCCCATTTTGGATAGTTGAGAGACCTTATCTCAAAAAACCCATCAAAAAACGGGCTGGTGGAGTGGCTCAAGGTGTAGACCCTAAGTTTAAGCCCCAGTGCCACATACACACACACACACACACACACACAAAAAGTGAGTGAAGTCACAAGTTATTTAATTCTGATAACCTTACCCCCAGTAAGGTGGGTTTGAATATTCTTTATTGCACAATTCACACAGGAATTCCACCCTTTCCACAGTTTCAAAATTCTAGATAATTACCCAAGCACCTCCGGCCCTCCTGCTGCTGGTAGACACAAGACTGGTAAGCTTGAGCTTGGCTTAGCATCTGATCAGGGCTCAATGCCAGTGGGCTCTCTCCCAGTACTGTGACCTCCTTTGGAGGACTACTGACTTTTTGTTTGTTGGTTTGGTTGGTTTGTTGATTTTGGTGGCACTGGAGCTTGAAGTCAGGACCTCATACTTGCTATAGGCAGGCGCTTCACCACTTGAGCCACTCTGCCAGACCTGACTTGTGGCTTTCCTGTGTGTCTTGACACTGCTGGGGACTGAACCAAGGCTAGGCAAGTGCTCTACCACTGAGCTGCACCCCTAACGCCCTGGCCTTTCAAAGAACTTAAAGAGTTGCCCCGACAGTGGAGAAAACTATAAATTGTTCTCCAGGTCTTTACCAGTCCAAAACATTTCTAGTAATGATATTTTTAAACACTTAGCTTTAGAATGAAACAAAACCAAAAACCCAAGTTTCACTTGCTCTATACTGTTTTGAGGAGCCATGCCTGACTGAGTGTATAATAAAAGTAGTCATTTGGAGACCTATTTAGATAATCAAAGGTGAAGTTGAAGCTTGCAAATAGATGACAAAATTTTAGAGATGCCACACATTTGTATCTATAATAGCACATTCACACATGTACAATTCACCCGTTTAAAGGCTGCTCTCATGGTTGATAGATGGCAGTGCTGATGGCTTATTAATGTAATGGAAACTTTACATGATGATAGTATTGTAATAAGACTAACAGCAGGTTCCATTCTGCCTTTTCTAATATATATTACATTTCCATGAACATGGCATGATAGGATATCCAAGCTCATTTAGTACTGAGGATTGAAATAAGGTACTTCTGTTACAAGAATGTGAGTGTCAGTGTACTTCTACTACTGTAGTATTTAGATGATTCAGAGTTAGGGTTACTGTCTGACCAGTATTATTCAAACAGCATATCCTATGTTTGTCTTCATTTAAAACACTGCCCAGAAACATTTTTAACTGATAGTTTTTAAAGTGACTCTTTTATGCACATAGACACAAGTTAGAGGTTTTAATATTAATTTAATGTAAACTGCTTCACCCTGGATTAAATGGAATGTCTCTTGTTTGTAGGGAGCAGCTGCAGATGATGGACGATTAAAGCGAGGTGATCAGATTTTAGCTGTTAATGGCGAAACCCTGGAAGGCGTAACTCATGAGCAAGCTGTGGCCATTCTAAAGCACCAGAGAGGGACTGTAACCTTAACTGTGCTGTCCTGAGCCACAGACCTGATCATGAGATAGATGTGATTGTTAGAATGTCCATGAGAAGATGAAGTTTCAGGTGGGGGTGAAAAGCCACCTGCACTAAAATTCAGCCATCGTCACCCTCTCATCCTCTGTGCTCAGGAGAGCTGGTTGGAGCTGCAACTGAGTTTCCCAAGTAACAGCCATCTGCCTAAGGTTTCCCAATGCTTGTCACTTCTTGGTGAGGTTAACTTCTAAAACTTGAATGAGTCTCACCTGTTTTGCACTTACCATCCATGTGAACCGATTCTTATTGTATTTGCTGAAACTGGAGTGAACAACCTCTTGTTCCTTACACCCATCCCCATTCGCATAGAGGCTTTCATAGCCAGCTGCAATCTCATCTGATGAACAGAAACGAATATTCCAGCCTGTTATCCCACTCATGATTTACTTAGGCTAATTGTCTCTTCAAGTAAGTCAGAAAATACTAGCAGTGTTATCAACTTCCTATGCTCTCCTAAGGGAAATTACTATACTCTCCTCTGAATGACTTATAGTCAAATAAGTCTCAAATCCATTTCCCTGGATAGATCTTTACATGTGAGCCACTGGTGATTTTCATGAGTCAATTTGCAGACTGCAACCTTCTAAAATTCTGACAGGCTTTCTAATTGTTTTCTGAGTTACACACCACTGAGCAAATGCACCTTGTTCTCACAGGAACAGTTAGCCCCCATGTTCTGAATTCTACCGAAGCTAATTTGTATTTGTGTCTGGGACGTTCATCCAAGTCATTCCCACCCTCAGTCAAGGTGGATGCCTCAGAGCCACACTACAGAGAGTGGCAGGTTTTTCCTGGAGCCAGATGAGGTCTGAGTAACCTTGGCCTTGTGCAAAGTAGAGTGCAAGTAAGGTACCCTTCCCTTCACCTCCATACCTGTCAGCACAGCACCACAGGCTGCAGGGACTAGATGGGACCTTGCTTAGCCATAAAGTAACCGAGCCTAGGAATCAGATGAAAATGCTTGCTTCATGTTTCCAGGTCTCCAGGGGGGCTTCACATTGGCTGAAGTTTTGCATGTTAAGAAAGCACCCACTGGCCTGGGCCGTGGCTCAAGGGGTAAAGCATCTGCCTAGCAAGCACAAGGCCCTGAGTTCAAATCCATGTACCAACACACACACACACATACACACAAATCACATGTAAAGAGAGCAACTACAGAAGAAAAATATAAGAATGCCTGGAAAGGTGGCCATGGGCATTCTTACTCACACATTAGCAGGAAGCAGGGAGATGCTTGTCAGTGAACGCTATAGAACCTTCTTTTTAAAAAATACCCTAAAGATAAGCACCAGAGTCAGTCACAGGTGTAGTTCAATGTTGTTTTACTACACCATACTGCAAATGTTCACAATAATTACCAAAATTTAATGGGCTGTAATTTAAAAGGTTATTTAATAAGTATAGATTTTAACTGAGAATTAGCTTTTAGTAGATGTAATCACAAAAGTGCATTAACTCTTGTTGGAATATTTTGTTGCTATTCCAAAGTCTAGAGTGCCTAAACTTTCTGTTGAAAATGTGTTTAATGACTGGTATTAAGTTTTTTGAGATTACATACAGTTTTTGGAACTTCTAACACATCCAAGATAACACAGCGTTGTTAGGATCTCATCTTTCAGTATGTGAGAAGCTACCAACCTCAGAATGTTCTGTGTTAATAGTATCTCAAGAACATCTCAGGCAGCCAAGATGAAACGAAGCCCAAATGAAACTTGAAAATGCACCTTAAACTATCTATGTAAACATAGAGACTTCTGAAATGTGATTCTGCTTACTTTTGATGGAATGGCCTAGTATTAAATACACCTTTTGAAATAACACATTGTTGTTGTGTTTCTTTACAACACCATGCTATTAAAAGTGTATTGATCGACTGGGCGCCAGTGGATCAGGCCTGTAATCCTAGCTATCTGTAAAGCAATTTGTGATAGTTTATACCTCTCAGCATAGCACAGAAACATCACAGAGCTAGTACTTCCCCTAAGTGGATCTGCCTCTGCTTGTATCACTAGTGAATGACTGCCTTGCCAGAAAGATACTTTTGCATCAGGACTTACTGACAAGCTGAGAGAATGTAAATTTGTGAAAGAAGTAGTTTGCTTATAGCCACATCTATCTTTTTATCCAAAGTGTTTGGGCCATTTAAGTACAGTAGTGATATCCCTAACTGGAGTTAACACAAGAGAGAAGTAAACTGGGAAAAAACAAAACTACCAAGTGTCTGAGTGAGAGAGATGTTTCTAAGGATTCTAAATAAATGTAGTCACCTAAGGAGCAAACAGTCTTACTATATGTGAAAAAGTTTAATTCCTGCTTCTGATTTTTTTTCTCTAAAAGAAAAAAGAATCCAACTTTTCACAGGACTTTCAGTATCCTACTCCAGTCTAGAGTCTATTAATAATCGTCTCATGGATTAATTGCAATTATTTTTCCAAGAACAGATGCTTTACAAAGGAACCCATACCTCTCAGCTCCAGAGTGCAGTTTCACCCAGTGGCTCACGCTTGTAATCTTAGCTACTCAGGAGGCAGAGATCAGGAGGATCGTGGTTTGAGGCCAGCCTGGCCAAATGGTTCACAATACCCTATCTTGGAAAAGAAACCCATCATATAAAGGTCTAGTGGAGTGGTTCAAGGTGAAGGCCCTGAGTTCAAACCCCAGGACTGCAGAAAGAAAAACAAAACAGAGTAGAGTTTCACTCTCCTGGGAACCTCAGGCACCTTGAGCTGTCCCACCCACCTCAGGGATGGCCTCGCCTCAGAGTGAGTGTGTAAATATTCCCTTTCCTTGTTCCCAACCCTTTCCAGCCCCCTGTCCCTCCAGTACCGCAGCTGTAGGGCAGCCACCATCAAGGCTACTACCTCTTTGATCCCCTGGAGTAGACGGCTGGAGACATTGTCTCTACCATCCCTCCACCAGGACCCATAGATGTCTGTACACCTGTAACCATGAAAGATCTGGTTCCACTGCACCTGATGAAGCAAATAACTCAAGAGACAGAGTGACGGGGAAGAAAGAATTTTATTGGCAGGGACTGGCCAGTTCAAAGACTGGCACCTGAATCTTAAAATGCCATCTTACCTAGGGGTCATAAGCACCAGCTTCTCAGGAATTTGGGGAAGGTATAGTTTTAGTCTCAGGTGGACAAGGTGCCAGGTGGTCATAACTTTCATGGTGGTCTGGTTTTCCTTTTTTTTTCCCCCCTCCGGTACTAGGGCTTAAACTCAGCCTGTGCCTTGAGCCACTCCACCAGCCTTTTCTGTGATGGGCTTTTTCAAGATAGGGTCTCGAAAACTATTTGCCCTGGCTTCGAACCTTGATCCTCCTGACCTCTGCCTCCTGAGTAGCTAGGATTATAGGCATGAGCCACTAGCGCCCCCGGCAGTGATCTAGTTTGCTGGTGCAATCTGAAGATCACCAAAGGATCCGGGCTCTGTAGCTAAAGAAAATTCACTAATCCCAGCACTGGGAGGATGAGGAAGGAGGATCACAAGTTCAAGGTCAGCCTGGGCTAGGTAGTGAGACCTTGTCTCAAAAACACAAGATAAAAATCACTGATTAGTTCCTCCCCCCAAGAATAGCTGACTTTGCAGTTTAAGATACAGATCACAGGGAACAGCCAAAAGCAAGCTTTAATGGAGAGCAATATTAGATGGCTTCAAATCTACATCAGAGCCAGTGTGAGGCTAATAATATAGATTGATTAGCTGGTAACCTCTAGAATTGGGGATTTTTAAAGCCAAATAAAGCCGAGTGCCAGTGGCTCACGCCTGTAATCCTAGCCACTGGAGAGGCAAAGATCAGGAAGATCATGGACCAAAGCCAGCCAGGGCAAATAGTTCGAGAGACCCTATCTTGAAAATACCTACACAGGGAGGAGGTGGGGGCAGGGGGGAGAAATGACCCAAGCCTTGTATGCACATATGAATAATAAAATTAAAAAAGAAAAGACCTACACAAAACAGGGCTGGTAGAGTGGCTGAAGTGGTAGAGCACTTGCCTAGCAATCATGAAGCCCTCAATTCAACCTCCAGTACACCCAAAAAATATAAAGTCAATTAAAAGCAAATGTTCATTTAGGTTTTCCCTGGGTTACACACCTAATAAGGCACTCAATGCAAATCCTGAACTCAGTGTGCTGCTAAGGCACTGCGTGATTTCACTTCTGAGGGACTCCCCAACAGCAGCGTTAACGCTAGTCCCATGACAGTACACCGTGAATGAGCCCGGCTCTCACCTGTGCCTTTGCCCATGTTGTCCATGAGCAAGACAGCATTCTCCAGGTGTAACCACGGACCTCTTCATGGAACCTCTTCACCTGGAACCAAGCAAACACATGCACTGTCCTCAGACAACTGACTCAAAGTCCCTGGGGTGGGACCAAGAAATTTGTGTTTTAACATGTCCTCCAGATGATTCCAATGTACCCGAGTTTGAGCCCTACAACACCTCACCCTTTTTTCTTTTATTGGTGTGGGTGATGGAAGCCACTGAGCATCCTCGTTGGACCTGTATAGCTCACTGAGCTGCAGTCCCCACACCCACCATTCTAGTCTGTGGCCATTCACATTCACTAGAACGAGAACTAGCCAGGTGCTGGGTTTGGTAAACACCAGTGACCCTCACTGCCCTTCTACAGAGGTACTTTACGCTGGAGAGCAAGGGTCACACTGGGCCTGCCATCTGCATAACGACTGATGAGCAGACAGGCACAGCACACAACCCCCACCGGTCCAGAAAGCTCAGTGAGCTCAGTCTTCTAGGGTGGTGGCTCTCAACCTCGGCTGTGCATTAAAATCACCAGGAGGCATTTCAAATCCCAGTGCCGGCTGTGCATTAAAATCACCAGGAGGCATTTCAAATCCCAGTGCCGGGGCTACACCTAGTCAGATGGGAGTGAGGGGGAGGGAGCCATCAAAGAATTGTCTCTCCTTCAGTTTGAAGCTCCCCAGAGGATGCTAATGTGCAGCTGGAGTTTCTAACAATTGTTGTCAATCCACCCACAAGGCCCTGTCCTTAGGTTTCCTTCCCAGGCCATTGCAACCACATTCAATATTCAGCTTTTTTTTTTTTCTTGAGACCTCCTATGTAGCCTTGTAGCCTGATGGGTCTCGAACGTGGTACATAACCCAAGATGGCCTCGAACCTGTGATTTTCCTGCCTCACCCTCTCAAAGTGCTGGGATTAGAGAGGTGTGCACCACCACACCCAGCCAGTATTCAGCCTGCATATCTAATCAGCTAGCAAAGCACAGGGAAGATTTCCGGAGGAGGCCAGCCTCTGGGAGAGGAAATGCAGAACCGAGCTCCCCAGACCTCCAAGGTTACCCTGAAGTTATTGGCGTTTGGGTCCTTGGAGCCTGTTTAAGCATCTTCAGAGGAAGAAGGAAGCCAGGCAAGGGTCACATCCACCCAAATGTTTTCCCTTCTGACTCCTGGCTGCCTGCGAGACCTCAGGCGGCCGCGCGAGGGCGCAGGAGAGACGCTGGAATCCGCCGCCTGGCCGGCAGCGAGGCAGACGCAGTAAGTTCTCTTGGCTGAGCCGTAAGTGGGGACCAGAGCGGGGATGCAGGGAGACTCAGCTGCAGAGGATGGTTTCCTGACTTCCACTGCGACCCGAGCCTCAGACTGTCAAACCAGCCAGGCTGTAACAGCACAGGAAGGACGCGATCCCCAAACTTGGTGCGCTGTCCCTAAGACGGGGTTCCCCTACCTTGCAGTTCCTGCTTTCCGCTAACCTTTTGCTTGTTTGCCCGGCTCTTGACCCTGAGCAGTGATATGCAGATGTAAGGCCTCCAAGGTTTTAGTCCTCAGAGGACCCCACCTCCACACTTCCCCCGTTCCTTTCCCGTTCCTGCACTTTGGAGGAGTCTGGTTGTTGGGATTTATCATTTTATCGTGTGCTTATGGCATTTTCTAAGTGCTCTTGTAGGATGAACTTAGTGCTAGCAAATTGAGCAGTCACTAAAATTGATCTTAAAAATAAATTAGGCCTGGCATAGTGATACACAGCTGTAATCCCAGCACTGGGGAGGCTGAGGCAGGAGGATTTCAAGTTAGAAGTCAGCTTGAGCTACATAGTGAGACCCCATCTCAAAAAAAAAAGCCTTATATTTGAGGTACAATAATCCATTTCATCTATTCATACAGTGTGAATTAAGGGCTGACCACTGTTCACGTCAGGAGATGGAGAACTGAGTAAGACGCGATCCGCCCTCGCCCGCTTGGTCCAAGGGAGAGAGGAACAAACGCGTGGTGCGGGGTCAGGAGCGCCACCTGCCGAGGCCGAGCGCTAGGGTCGGCCGGTGTGGCAGGTGTCGTGGAGAGCAGCAGCGATCCCAAGGTAAAGATCCGGAATGGCGAGCTCTGCAAACCCCCACGGGTCACGCGTGAGCAGGGCGTAAACCGGGAGCGGCCGGGCCAGGTCGGGGGCGGAAGTGTTTTTTTTGCCTCAATGTGGAGTCACGAAGATGCTTTGATGTAGGGACTGCTGTCATCAGGTTTGTTCTCTCTTTTTTTGGCACTGGGGTTTGGTCTCAGGATTTCACGCTTGTTAGGCAGGCGCTCTACCACTTGAGCCACTCCACCAGCACTTTTTTGTGATGGGTTTTTTCGAGATTACCTGGTGAACTATTTGCCCGGGGCTGGCTTCGAACCGCGATCCTCCTGATCTCTGCCTCCTGACTAGCTAGGATTACAGGTGTGAGCCACCGGCGCCCGGCTGCAGATTTGCTCTTGAAAGTAAGAAAGCACTGGCCTTCGTTCACTTTATTTTTCTGGTGCTGGGGACTGAGTTCCTGCCTCCGAAGTCGCCT